GTAACCATGTATATGATTTCAGAATTAATTAAGTTGTACGAAGCTAGATTAGCTGTCGGGGTCTAGACAAAGGTGGTCTAGAAGAACCGCTGATTAATATTTGGAGTGTTAATTAAGTTGTACGTGGTTATAATAACTATCGGGGGTCTAGACTAAGGGTCTAGAAGAACAGCTGATTATTGTTGAGCATTACATGGGTAATTGTAGGGGGCTAAACAAACCTACTATTTAAAGTAAATAGTATTAGCCATAAACCTCTGAATAAGGATCAAACTGTCGAGTTTGTGATCGTGGAGCCCACGCATAGCGGCCGCCGTGAGGCATCCTAAGCGACATAGATTCCTAATGAACGAGAAAAAAATACAAAGTAAAGAGTTAATTAGAATAATCGAATGTAAGAATAATCAGAGACCGACAAACAACCAATGTGCCTTTCAACCTAAATTAGAATTCAGATACTAAAATGGAGTCAGATTGAGTTAAACCTAAATTGAATAACTCTGCGCGCTGAAAAGACCGAACACGCAAGAGACCTTCATCCACCACTGGGTACCTTCCTTGGACCAGGTGCGCGGACCTTACACTACATATATTATCTATATCATATTTCCTTGCCTTGACTAGCAAGAAACCTATATTAAAAATACGAAAATAACTTTTTTATTTAAGAGATGGTAACTGGATTACACATACTTATTAACCTTAATGTTATGAGGTTGTGTGACAGCAATGTGGCATAATACCGTTTAAAACATTCAACATATATGCACATATTTAACATATATACTGCTTTGGCATACTTTTAGAAAAACTTAAAGGTGCAGTATGCAGTACTGTAAGCATTACACTTGTATTCCATTCCAGCCTAGTTCTGTCAAGTTACATAGCACTGCCTACTGTTAAATCTCAATGGTCTGATTTTCAGCTCCACACAGCTGAATATTAAACATTAAATACTTTTGTCAGTGATTTTGTCCCTTCATGGCAGCATTTGGCTTTCAGCGAGGACAGAAAAAAGATTGCATACTGAATCATTTTCACACTACGCCTGGTTAGAAAGGCAGTGTGTAATTATATGGAAAGAGTATGTAAGCATTACCTTCAAGTCTCTGTGCACAATGCCCATATCATGCAGATACTTGACTGCATCTAAAATCTGCCGAATGAGTTTGCTGGCATCTCTTTCAGTGTAGAAGCCTTTTTCCACAATCCTGTCAAAGAGCTCTCCCCCCGATACGCTGTGAAGACCCACACACACAAACTACAATTAGCGACTCTACTATAATCACACAAGCGTTCAATTGACACTGCAAATTAAACCAACATCAGCCAGTATCTTTTATAATGATTATGGTTGATGTGGTTGCGAGTGCTGAGAAAAACTCACAGCTGCATGACCAAATACAAATGCGACTGACTTTCGAAGATGTCTTCCAGTGAAACAATATTCTCATGTTTTATTCTGAAAAAAAAAAGAAAACAGCAATGATTAGAATCTAAACTGGCAATCAGACTTACCATTTCAGCTGATGGACAGTAAAATGGCTTAAGATCCTTGCATTAGGGACCAGAACTTGTAGGATCCAACTTGCACAACCTGCAGATTGATATTTTACATTGTGTATATTGATTTATTTCACTATAAGGCAATGCTACTTTTGTATTATTTTTATATTGTTATATTATATAAATATTTTGAATTAGCTTTTATTTGATGTTTTCAGTTTTTATTTTTATTTTAGTTCACGTTTTACAAATTTTATGTTTTTGTTTAATGCATTCAATTAATTATATATATTTTTTTTCGTCTAATTTCACATTTATTTAAATACTGAAAACTATTTTTAATCATTTTAGTTTTAGTTTTTTTCTTTTCTTTTCTTTGGATTTTTATAATCTAATTTCAAATTTATTTCAATATAGCATGCGTGCCTGTCTGTTTCCATGAGGATGATTTCAATTAAAAGGACCTTATGATATGTTGTTGTTGAGATCTCCAATGACCTGGAAGCCATGCTATAGTGAGTCATGATCACAGCAGGGTTGTTTAGTGAGAGAGAGCAGCTCATACAGCGCTGCAGCTGTCAACAAACTTTCTACTGGACTCGTGTCACAGACTTCTCAGACTGCCTTAAGTGGAAAGGGGGAGATGTGGGGGGCAAAAAGGAGGTCGGGAAGAAAGAATGAAGGAAAGAAAGAGCGAGTGAGAGGAAATGAAGAGAGCGGGAGCTGTGCTGTTGCCGTGAGACATGGTGTAATTAAGGCCTCCCGTGGCTTCCTGTGGGTAAAGGAGGAGGAAGAGAGGAGAGATAATGGAAATTAGGAAATGATACAAGACAGCCAATGTGGGTGTTTGGGTCTGTAAATAAGAAAATTGTGTCGCAGAGACATATAGCTGATGGAATGCCTTACATACAGTATGTTACAAGGCCAATCGTTTTCCAACAGCAGCTCTGTGCACTAAAATAGATTAAAACATGCTCATGGTGTAAAGTGTTTCTCTAGTGAGGGGTTCAGAATCATTGAGATATTATAGTTTACATGTCAACAAAAAGTGAAAACAACATCAAGAACATGAAAGGAAAAATTACAAACATTCATATTCAAATTAGTTTTATACACTAATGCTTAAATTACATTACACTGTTTATGTCGCATGTTTAAATGTGGTTCAACAGTGTTGAGAGACTCTTACTGGTCATTTGAAAGCATTATTAGATTAGCTAAAAATATTCCAATTTTACCTAATATTTAAATATGCATGAGGAGGAACAATACATTACAGGAAATTTGTCTGAATGTGTGGGCCCAGTCATTATGTGTCAATTTTCTGATATCAGAAAACATAAACATAAACATATTTTTGGTGTTGCATTATACTTAATGTTAATTCATTGCTTCAATAACTATAAAAATATAAGTAATTTAAGTCTAATTTATTTAATAAGAGTTTAAGATTCTGTCTCTGAATTGTCTCTCTCTATTCTCTCTCTCTCTCTCTACACACACACACACACACACACACACACACATACACAAAAACACACACAAATATATTATTTTTTAGTATGTTTAAATCAAATTTTTACAATGTCTAGTAGAGTTATTCAAGTAATACTGACGCTGCATTTCATTTAACCACTGTACCTGACCTGGAAAATAATCTGTGAAGCAATAATCCAGTCATTCAAAGATTTAGTGCCGGAACACTAGACATCTCTCATTATGATTTAACTCCAGGAACAACTCAACTTTTTATCTATCATGCCTTTTGTGTGCCACAATAAATTATCAGGTTAATTTACATTACATTAAAATGATTAAATAAATAAATTTTTGTTCTCAGCAAATAATGATCAAATTGATTGATATCCCTTGTACAATAGGCATTTAAAAACTCACTCTGAATCACACAGACTCACTCTAACAAGCTGTGATTAATAATTGAACAAAAATGCAGCATGAGCGACTCTGTTTTCTTTTTTATGGATGTCTTTTAAAAGAGTAGGTTGTTTGGGGAGCTTTTTCTGTCATTTTAGATTCACTTAGAAAGCCGTATAGATTTGGCTGTTACTACTTACTGAAAAAAAACCTCTGACATCATTCCAACCTGACAAAACTTGCTAAATAAAACTGGCCTTCTGGTAAACTAAGTGTAGTCTTTCAAAACACCTTTCTCATTTTGTTTAGGAAGATTGGGTGTTTAAATCAACAAAGAGACCTTTGACAAAAACAGCTCGGAATTCTCATTCATCCTACTTTTGTGACACTCAAATAAACAAACTTTCATCAAAAAAACTTATCTTGTCACCATAGCAACCAGTTTCCTTTGACCTCTTCTGCCCACTTTGTAAATACGATGAATGCTATAAATGACTAAACCAAAAACAAAACAGCAAAGTCAAAGTGACGTTTGAATTCTGTAAGCTTTGAAAAAGCACAAATATAAACAGTCCATTTTGTTTCCCAAATATCACTGTTTTCAGACAGCAACACTGAAAACAAAAGTCACAAATTTCAAATACTAACCTCTTGTCTCACAAAAACAGACCTTCTTCTTACAGAAACAAGATAAACAAACTGTTATATGTATATATTAGTTAGCGCAATGACTTAAGCACTTACTCATAACATATCATAACAAAGTCTCCAAAGTACCACCTGTTCTTAATTATGTTAACAGCCATGTACAATTGTATAAACTGTATAAATTACAATATGGAAAACAACCAGAATAGATTATAGTTACATTAACTGTTTAGCAATTAACAACTCATATATCTTTTTATAGCTACTCCAAAACACACATGTACCACTTACTCAAACATTAGTCTCTCGATATACAGTATGTAGCAAATCCTGCATAGTCTGCTAAAATTAAAAACTCTCTAGTGTCCAATTGTAAACCGTTTTTCATGTTTTATTTTAATCAAAATCCAGGTCTGCAGCTAAGCCAGAGCAGATACAATTTCCCCAAAATAAATCAATCGACTCCACTCAAAGAATTCACGGATAAACCAATTCCATAATCTACTTTAGAAAAGAGGCTTTCTGTCAACATATACAGTTAAATCCTCTGAACAACGCCTTACTGGCAAACCAGTCAAAACCGCATGACACTGTGAAAACAAAGACAGGTTACAGATTTGCAGAGAAACCATTCCATTTTCTGTCTATAGTTGCGAAAAAACTGTTACAAAAATAGAAAAGTGGGATCTGTCAACTAAAGGTGCATTGCAATTTGCCGCAAGGTATCCACCTCTAAACAAAACGGCACTTGGCCACTTTATATATCATTAAAATGATCTTATTCTGTTGAGGTAGACATTTCTTGGCCAGAATAAGCTGCAAAGTGGTCCAAACTTTATGCTGAAGATATAAAGGGCTGAGGTTTTAGGGTCAAGACTGACAATTGCTCCTCAGTGATGCTAAGAATGTATCTCTGGTGAGTGTGTAGCATGCACGGCTCCAAAGAAGGGGATTTAACATGAGGCTGGCCATGTGAACTCAAGCTGAAGTAAGCATGCCCAAATGATTATGTTATGCCATCTGAAATAGCAGTCATTCTGGCCGCAGGAGGGGAGAGACACTCATAACAACCCCCTGAAGAACAGTATATGCTTGTGTATGAGTCTATGTGTGCGTGTCTGAAGGTTTCATCACAGCTCTACGCTAGTGACTTTCCCCTCAGCAGTGCCTTGGAGGTTGGCGATATGCTTCCCACCCAGCATTTGCCGTCCTGCTTCTCACGTGCTTTGTGAAAGATCTTGCATGAGTGTCGCTAAGATTCGGCATGGCAGATCTGTCTGTCCATGTGTTTATCCCTCTCTCTGGCTCCAGTCTGCAGCCACATCGGCCAAGATGCGCTGAACGTGACAGTAAAATGTACACACTCTGCCCACGCACTATAAATATATCTGCGAACATAAAAGGGCTAGTGCACTTAGAGTCGACGAATGCTCTCTTGTCCTCTACTACGACTGGCTTCATGAATAATAGAAGCAGGTCTACACGACTTCAAAACAGAAATGTTGTTGTTGCTTTTGTAGGAAAGGTAGACATAGAAACAGAAAAGAGAAAACAACGTTGCAAAAAAACTTTATCGCTCTTGGTGTGAACGGGGCTTAACTATAAAGATAACGATATAGTCCTAAAAATCGTTCTCAGTATTAAAGAATAGCAGAGTCCACACCACAACTATAACGATAAAGGCACAGAGAAACGATATCTTTGGAATCACTTTCAGCTGATTTTTTCCAGCTGATGAAGGATAAAAATATTGACAGCCAATCAAATTCAATCCTTCTGTCACGAGCTTGAGAATTTAAAGCGGCAGACGAGCGTGCGCTTGGAAACAGACGATATCGTTCGCTGGTGTGGACGCTAATCTCTTTATCTTTATAGTTATCGTTCTTGGTGTGAACGGGCCTTTATTCATTGTAATCTTTGTCATCTTTAAAGACATTTAAAATAGATAAGCACTGGTCATATGATAAGTTTGATTGTTGTAATTCTGGAATTTATAAAACATTTTTTTTCAAAGGTCACACCTTCTTTCACTGACCATTTGTTGACAAAGAACAAAAAATATCGGCTCAGTTCGTAGAAACCAAATCAAAGGTGGCAAAATAACAAACAAGCTTCAGCAATCCATTGAACTTGTGCATACAGTATATACATCAAATATTATCATGCATATATAATAACTTTCATCCTGTCAACATTCAATTAAAGTACAAGTTAGATTTTTCCAGATCTGTGCAACAAAGTACAAAAAGTACTTTTATTGTATTATTTTTTGACCTGGTACCAAAGCAATGCAATGCTTTTTTAACATATATATAGTAATTCCATGCTATACCATGGAATATTAATATGACAATCATTCAAAACCATGCTATACCATCAGTACCTTAGTATTAACACATTACTTTTACCAAAGGAATACACATACGACGAAACAAGGGGGGAAAATCAGCTATGAACAGCTGTTCCACAGATAAATTGTAAACATGCACAAA